GGGGGTCAACGCCCGAGGGCTCCCAGTATGTGAAATGGGGCAGACTGGGCTGAGGAACACTCCCCCTCACACACATCCAGTGCACGAATTTCGTGCACCGGGCCCCTATTATATATAAAAAAGCCCAAGAGACCAAATGACCATGTAACAGGTCGCTATGATGCATACTGACCACCAGGAGGCAGATGCTCAATGCAGAAGCTGACCCCTGGTGGTCAGTGCGCTCCCACGCTCCTGCCTCCACAGCAGCAGGCTACCAAGAGGCAGTGGCAGGAGCAGTGGGGCCAGGATGAGCAGGAGCAGGAGCAGTGCCTGGCCCAGGCTCCTCTCTGACCGCCTGCTGCTTCAGATTGCAAGAGGGCGCAGACTGGGCTGAGGGACCCCACTGGTGCACAGATTTGTGCACTGGGGCTCTAGTATCATATAAATGGGATCGTACAATCTGTGATCTTTTGTGACTGGCTTCTTTCACAAAACAAAATGTTTTCAAGTTTCATTGATGCTATAGCATGTATCAATACTTCAGTCTTTTTATGACTGAATAATATTTTATGGTATGGATGCATCAGATCTGTCTAGTTATTAGCTGATGGACAATTAGTTTGTTTCTACTTTTTTGGCCATTGTGAATAATGTGGCTATAAACAGTCATGTAAAAGTTTTATTCTAAGCTTGGAATTGTTGGATCATAGGGCAACTCTCTGTTTAACACGAGTGGCTGTAACAGTTTACATTCCCACCAGAAGTGTATGAGGGCTCCAATTCCCCTCTCCCCTTCCAACACTTCTTACCTGCTGTTTTGATTATAGCCATCCAAGAGTATGTGAAATGGTATCTCCTTGTGCTTTGATTTGCATTTGCCTAACAGCTAATGATGTTGAGTATATTTTCATATGCTTGTTACCCATTTGTATATCTTCTTTGGAGAAATGTCTATTCAGATCCTTTGGCCATTTTTAAATTGTTTTTTTTCTTTTTATTATTGAGTGTAAAAGTTCTTTATAT